TTACCAAATATTATTATCTTCTATAGCCATACATGTTATATACAAAATATCAAGTTGATTGGTTCTAGCATTCATGTGAACCAAACGCCTAAACTTTTGGTAATTTTTGACACAAATCAGAAATGGCGGCCAAACCATGTGACTGATCACAATTGTTTTTAATGGAGAAGCTTCATCCATACATGCAGGATTTCGTTGATCGGCTGAAGCACCAATTAGAAACATTCATGGCTCTCGAGGTCACGTGACCACTGAAGATTTTATTGCGAATTATCATACAATATGATATGCAATTATGTCAGCCTCCCTTGACCCTCACAACAGAAAAAAGTAACTTCTGGGGTTTTTTTCTAAATTCAAGATGGCGGCAAAAGTTTGTGACCAATTAGAATAATAAAAGATGTAGTTAAGGTGAGTATCTATGCGCGCACTTATTTTCAAAACCTTAGTTGCAATGATGCAAAGAATACCCACAATGCGTCATGATGGAATATTTTAATCAACTTATTACATACAAGTATGTATATAAAACCAGCGAATAAAATCAATCCTTTTCTGTCGAGCGTCAATGAAACTAGAAATTCGTTATTTGCTTAATTACACATTAGCGATGTATGTCTAAAAGTGTGTAATTTGATATTAACTTAATATATAATTAACAAGTGTGTAGTCTAGGTAATTATAATGTTTTTACATATGAGATAACATCGAGGAAACGAATCTTTTGGGAATGTGTCGTGTAGATGATCGTCGTTTAAATTAATGAAACGTCACAGTGATGGAAACTATTGTTTGCAGCTAATTATATGTGCACTGCTTTACTAAACGCGCTATGTTTCATTTCATAAAAAATAAATTGAAATTGTATTTCGTATTAAAAATACATATGACATGTGAAAATGTAGTAATAACTACATAATATATTATATGTAAACATTCGATATATTTTTTTAAATAATTTCACTAATATTTACATATCGACTTTGCGCGCCCACTTGTTATAATACAGCAAATACTTCGAAGCAAGAATAATTTCGTCATCTTAATTGTTGTCAACAAGCATACACAGTGTTTTAAAATGGCATTACCTATTTTGTGATTTTTTAAACGACTTATGTTTTAAAAAATGGATTACATACAAAACTAATAAGCTTTAAGCGAAATATGCATAAAGTATTCTCAGATGGTATGAACGTCACTAGTCGAATACACAAGATTTATACTTAATTTGATTATTGCGTTTTGTGAATCGTTTGTTTAAGTATGTGCGTTTTAATTTTGAATATGGATATTGATAAACTAAAGTCGTACATAGAACAACTGGAAACATAATTTGGCAGACCATCGTGGTCCCACCATCATGCTAGCTGAAGCTAAATTCATGAAAGGTTTATGTAAAGACACTACAGCAACGTCTGTGTGTGTTTTTCACGTGCATGTAAACATCAATATAAGTCCTGATATACAATGTTAGCATCTAAATGTGATTCGTTTATGAGTATAAATTTGCATAATATCAGTCATATATAAAACGAATCACATGTTTCTATAACTACATAACTTACTGGTGCAGAAACATCCTTAATATATGAACATACCTTTTTCGCATATACCGGGTCTACGGTCGCCACATTTTTTTAATCGCATACCGTCCGTTTTCAGGGTAGCGCATTTATCAGCGTCTGTTGGCACATTATTATCTTTCCACATAATACTCAGCGGTTCAATGTCTGTATTGTCCCATCTCCAACGTACAGCACTATCGTCATCGGTGTATGATTTGGCCCCCACCCAGAACTCGCCATCATTCATTTGATTCATGATAAAATCAAACTCATCCTTTGTTTCCATTCTCAAAAGTGATCCTTTTCCCTTTTTCTCACATAATTGAGCAATGTCGATCGCACTTTCTTCAATGCATGTTTTGTAATAATTCGATGTTTCAGGGTACTGGTTGTCGCAGTTACCTAAGCATTATAATTTTATAAAAGGGTAACATCAGTAATTGGTAAAACCCATGTTATAGCTAATCGTGAGCTTTACAAGAATGACCAAGTCTACTCATGGTAATACTAGACTTACATCGTCGTACGGGTGGCTGACATTTGTACGTCCACTACCCAAATATCCACTGCCATCGATTCTTCTATTGGATGGGCAACGAATTAATGTGAACTGATTTGTTCCTGTTTTTAAGCTTGAACAACTGTAACTTTAATAAATATTTCGTCTTCGCAGACTAAATCAACAATGTCGGTGATGTATAATATCAGGGATGTTTACTTTATATTAAATGTTCACTCAAATCTAAACCTTGGTTATTCTGTTATCATATTCAATAAAAACATCACAAGTATATTAATTTAAATATTAATTTAAATAATGTCAGCTTTTTCATGAGATCACAAACGAAAGCACATCATCCCTGCAAAAGTTGTGTTTCCTATATGATATGTTAAATAACCACGAGTTATAATCACTGACCAGGGATATATAATGCACAAATGAACCACAAACGATATGCAACAAATTCATAACTCTTATGCGCTACTTGTCAACTAATACACTCAATACGTGTATATGCCTTACCTTTTGCGGCATATCGTGGTAAGATTATCAGGAGCACCACGAGGTACATGGTTGTAGAACTGAGCTGCGCATATGAACGACGTTGATCACGACTCTGTAGTTAAATTGTAACTATGTGACACAGCACATCATCGCAGGTATTGTATTCGCAGTATACTAAGTCATGCGTGAGTGTTTTCTACCATGCAAAGTGGCATTCATTGCATGTAATCAATAAAGTTTAATTGCGTCAATAACAGAATTCTAAATTACACTGTCATAGCAATTACGCTAATTACATATCTACTTAACTAATTGGAAAAGTTTTGAGGCAATATAATCAGCATTATCGGCGCCTCATTGGTCCGTATTATCACAACGTATTACAGATTGACATTTTTGAACATATTCGACAAAGCTAACATTTATTCTGTAAGATTAGATTATACAAATGCGCGTTAATATAACAGTTTCTCAGTTTCAAGTCATATGTAAATATATACATGTCTACTAATGGGCCCCATGTATCATCTTATGTTACTTATGTACATGTAATATGACTAAATGTGATGATTATAATCCCACATGCATGGATACTATAAAAAACAAATAATTGGCAACATGGACGTGCACCCATATCAAAGTTTTTATAATTTTGATAGAAAGCCCTGTTTATCTGCAAGGAATTATTCTGCATACATTTACAAAAGCAACAGTACATTTACGAGACCGAACCATATTTTTCTGGGTTTCCTCTTTCCCTAGTATGTATCAAAAGGAAATGGAAAGGGAAGACCCAGTGAAATATGGTTCTGTCCCATGTAATAGACCCAGGTGTAATACTTGTCCTTTACTCTAGTCGTATATTTGGTTCCAAGGGAGATATTATGGTCAATAATGCTTTCAGTTGTATTACCATGAATGTTGTTTACTGCCTTTCATGTAAATGCGGAAACTTAAAATTGGTTCTACAGTTCGTCGATTGGATGATCGGTTTGCTGAGCATCTACGACTAACTAGACAGGAAAATCGTTTTTAACTGGTTTCACTTCATTTTAATTCTAGGGGACATAACATAACAGATATGTCAATTACTGGTTTATGTGTTGTCAGTGACAACGAGAATCAGCTTAATCGTGTCGATGAGGAAACTATACTCCGTCTTGGAACTTACGAACCTCATGGAATTAACAAACAGTTTAACTCATTACTATCTAATACGCGTAACATGTGCTATTGTGGAATCATTTAGTGATACTATTTTAAAGTTGTTGTGTGTGTTCTTACGTTCTGATGTTCTACTTTTACGTTTAAACATTTTCTTCTATGCTATCGATAAAGAGTCATTGCTCGAAACGTCTAGCTATTTTTAAACGTTACTTAGGACTACGATTACCAAATATTATCTACTATATATCATATTTATCAGTCCGAGCAGCGTTTATTATTAATATTACAATCCTGTTGTGATGTGATCGTTGTATTGTCAGACCTCTGACTGATTGATACAGTGTTGAAATAGTGGATTAAACACTATAATTGAGTTACTAAGTAGTTCAACAATAAATGCACTCATGTTCAAGTAATTTATTGATAAATTGAGCAATAAGGAAAAGTGTGTTTTGAAAGAATTTGATACATATCAGAATTGAATACTACACAATATTCACATTATTATACGGCTGTATATAGATCGGGTCTTTGTTTATAATGAGGCTTGCAACATTGTTATCAAACTCCACAAATGTAGGAGAATGAAATTTACAGTTTTTATATATCTCTTTTCATTCTCTATGAATTCAACTTTTCATCAGTATTATGTAGTCCGCCATCTTGATTCCACAGCAAAGGATTATGGGTAAAGTGTGACATCCTATCCTCTGTTTTCAGAAATTTAGAAAATATTTCAGCTATAATATGAGAAATACTGCCATGACAACTATTTGATAAGTATGTTTGGCACAAGTACACGAATGCTACCATGTTCTAAACTTTCAGCCAATTTGAAGTTCAACTTTTAATGTTATAGATGAAATCATTTACTCAATTTCTGACAACAGAGGATATGATGTCATATATTACACAAAATCCTTTGCTGAATAATTATTTTAGGCTGAATAGGCAAATGAGGCTAACATATTTTCTCATCACTGCCGACTTTCTGAAGTTATTATCTATAATAAATGAACGTTTTCATGTTTTTATATGACAATTTAATCTCCATAGATGAAAATGTAGCATACTTGAATTGTAACCATGGTGACAAACCTTCGTTCTTTGTTACGATGCAACAGTATCATGCAGTACTTTATGACCATGCTCAACACAATTGATGCTTTATTACCAATAAGTTTAATTATATCAGTAATTATTTATTCATATTATCTGAATGATATTTGTATAAATTAGAATGTAATAAATCTTCTACAGAATAGAATATGAGGCGGTAATATTTAGCATCTCCTCCTCCTCTCCTTTTAATATATTTTACCCTATATCATCTAAAATACTACATAGCGAAGTCCTAATACCACAGTTGGAGCGCCTATATTTCCATTCCTTTACGCATGACCAATGTTCCTTTACCATACATACTTTTACATTTCTACCCGTCATGCTACTCAAGCAACAGCCATAAAATAGATCACAAAATATTATTCACATCGACCATTATCCACCCACCACTATCACAGGGTAAACCCGTACGCTAGGGCAAATACATTTCCGTTGTCAATGATTTTTTTCCATCAAGGTGTTATGATATACTTGATGGTAGACGTATGTGATGACGGCAAGCGTTGCCATAGCTACCACGAAGTTTTTATTCAACTATAACCAATAATGAGTGTATTTGCGGAATTTTTAATTATTTGCTATTCGAAATTGGTATGGTTGTTATGACAACAAATTACCAGTCGTGTTGCCACAGAGACAAATATCACGAGACCGGAGTCATTGGCAACATGCGGCTCACTTGATAATAGATAAAAATGATGTTAGATCACGGCAGATTATCTCACATTTTTTAGACCATCTAAAGTGTGACACCTCGACTTTCTATATATGTTTTTCCTGTAAAGTAAAGAGGTCGGGAAGTCTTCATTCTGAAGACGAAGCAGGAACGCAAAAGCAGTTAATGGTTAAGCCTGGTTCTATACTTTGACACTTTGAAACTTCTACTTGTTAATAAAAACTCAGGTACTTTACGTACATACATTGCCGGGAAGCCCTACAAGGCGAACGGCGTATGTTATATGTACGGACAGATGCAAAAAGTTTTATATCAACAAATGTTAGTTTACTATCTGTTTTGGGTAAATATATCGGCAAATCAAATCATATAAAGTTTGACAGTAACCTCTACATCAAACATCTTATTTTTTTATTAAAATATAGCTTTTGTTTTGTTTTGTTTTGTTTAGTTTTAAACCACTCTGTTTTGCTAGTTTATTGAGGCAAGTTTGAGAATTAATATCATCAGCAAACAGTGTGCAGTTAATTGCCTGAAAGAATATTATTTAATTATAAAATAATTTTGTATAGCGACAGACTTATAAGTAAATACTTCATATACCAAAGAGCACATTCCTTTCTCGAGTACCACTTTGACAGAAAATATATTGTTTGTCAAAATTGAACATTAGTAACCTAGTTTTGTGTAATAAATTGTGTCACTTATATAAGTTCAAGACATTTAACAAATAATTAATAAATTACGCTGGTATATAATTCATAGCATAATAAAATAGAGACATGCAAACTGCGCAGCCTTGCCTAATTTTAAATAGTCCACCGTATTTCACATTTGAGCAAGACGTAGCAAAATTGCCTGGCATTTGGTTTTATCACAGATCAGCTGACTGGTGAAGATGACTCGGTGGGGGCCAAATCATACACCGATGACGATAGTGTTGTACGTTGGAGATGGGACAATACAGACATTGAACCGCTGAGTAGTATGTGGAAAGATAATAATATGCCAAAATATACTAATAAATATGGTACCCTGAAAACGGGCGAAATGCGTGAAAAATGCCAAGAAGTCGGGGGAAAAGAAAAACACACAGGCATAAAATATATATTTTCTAAAACATCGTCATGCCCCAATTATCTTTTACTGTATGTATACACTGGATGGCACTACGCATGTTCGGAAACAACTGACTCATTACTTAGTGTACTGCAAATAGAAAACCTACATAATTGCAAATTAATTACGGAGTCGTGATAAAGGTCACCAATATACGAAGCTCTGTTGTACAATCATGTATTCAGTGGTGCTCCTAGTAATCGTACAGCCATTTGCTGTAATAGGTAAGCAGCTGGCATGCTCATGTAATGTCTATACATTATTGGTACACATTATCTTACTGTACAGTATTAATTCGTGGTTATTACCATATCTAAACACGACAAACACGAATGTTAGCTTCAATTCAGCAAGGTTTCTATGTCTTTGTTTGTGATCTTAAGAGAATTGCAGACATTATTTATATTAATGTGTTATATAGTTTGTAATACACGTTGTATTATTGAATGTGGTACAAGAGTAACCAACAACAAATGAGTGAACATTTAGCAATATATGTTGTCATTCCACAGAAAATGTCGTTATATCACCTTCATCTTATACATCATTGGCATCCATGTTTTCTCCATTTAGTCCGCGGAGACATTTATTTATTAGACTTTCAGCTTGTATAGCATACAACCATGACGCCATGAGTTCAGAGCCAATGTTCAGTATCGCCACGAGTAGACATGGACATTTTCATATAAATTCACGATTAACTATACCTTACGTTGCACTTAATGTATATATATATATATATAATGTTCATGTACAGCCTGCAATGACTACCTTGGAACATCGAATTATTATCGCAAATGCCATACTACGAGTGCCAGCGAAAGTGCTCAAAGGTGCGAGTCAAGTGGAAAAGGATCACTCTTGAGAATGGAAACCGTGGAGGAGTTTGATTTTATCATGGATCAGCTGACTAATGGAGAGTACTGGGTAGGGGCCAAATCATACACTGATGACGATAGTGTTGTACGTTGGAGATGGGA